AGAAAAGAGGTTCTTGCTTGCTTAAAGGGGATTGATCTGCAGTGGACAGAACTGGCATCACCTGGGAACTTTTGAGAACTGAAGAACTGTAGAACTCATGCATCCGAATCTGCATTTGAACTTGATCCCCAGCCAATTCATGTGAGCATTACAGTGTGAAAAGTGCTGACTTAAAACATATTGTGGAGCTGCCCCCATCAGAGGCAGGGGAGCTGAGGTATCTATACTCCTCCATTTGCTAGGACTGATTAGGCTGCCCCAGGGGGAGTGAATTCTTTTCAGGAACATCTGGTTGGCCAAGTGCAGTGGGGAGGTGGATTCTGGCAGCCTGGGGGTAGTCCTCCAACAGAGAGGCAGATGCTGACTGTTAGGAGGAAGGCACAGGACTTGGGGGAAGGAAAAGGAACAGAAAGTGTGTGGGCAGAGCCTGGACCCACAGCCACACTCCTTAGCACTGGATCCAATTTCATCCTGATTTACCCACCACTGCTCGCAGCAACCTACTCTGAGAGGAAGTGGAAACACTTAAAATAAAATATCCTTCCAGGCTGCCAGACTTCAAACAAGTGTGAGCAGGTTGGAGGAACAGGGAGAGACAATCTTAGCCAAGCTAATTTAGTTCTCAGAAAAAAAAAAAATGTTGTTGTTAAAAGCCGCTTTTTTAAAAACAAAGATGGAAACAAAATTACATACCATAAAATTCGCCTTCTTTAAATCGTACAACTGAGTGATTTTGGTGTATATGCAAAGTTGTGTGATTATCTCTACTATCGAACTGGAATATTTTCATTACTCCCAAAGGAACCCCAAGTCTTTTAGAAGTTATTGCCCATTCATCCCTTTTCCCTAAACCCTGGCAATATGTAATTTTTGTGTCTCTGCAGATTTGCCTATTCTGGATATTTCATGTGAAATAAATTATATAATATATGGCCCTTGTTTCTGGCTTCTTTTACTTAGTATAATGTTTTCAAGGTTTATCAATATTGTAGAATGTGTCAGAAATTCATCTTCAGGTTTTTGGTTTTTTTTTGGCGGTGGGGAGGGTGGGGCAGTGGTACTGGGGATTGAATACCCAGGGTACTCTCTCTACCATGAAGCTACATTACATCCCTACCCCTTAAAAAAAAAAAAAAATTCCCCCAGGCTGACCTTGAACTTGTGTTCTTCCTGCCTCAGCCCCTTGAGTAGCTGGGATCACAGGTGTGCAGCACTGCTCCCAACACTCCATTTACATTTGATTTTACCTTGGCACCTTTATCAATACCCAACTGACCATATTTGCATGAGTCTTTTTCTGGACTCTATTGTGTTTCGTTGATCTACAGGTCGAGCATTCTGCCAACACCATGCTGTGTTAATTACTGTTGTTTTTAGAGTCAATGTTTAAATCCAGTAGTGTTACTCTCCAATCCTGTTTTCCTTTTCCAAAGTTATTTTGAGTATTCTGGGTGCTTTGTTTTCTCATATGAATTTTGGAATCAGCTTGTCAGTTTCTATTTTAAAAAAAGAGGAGGGTTGCTGGGGTTTTCATTGCAGTTGCATTGAATTTAGAGCTCCATTTAGGGAGAATTGAGATTTTGACAATATCGAGTTGTCTCATCTATGAACATGTCCATGAATGGATAGTTTTGGGAAGGCTCATGGCGTTGCCCTCTTCCTACATGTTTCTTTCTCAGGTTTGGTTGGTCTAGGCCAAACGTGGCAGTTCCCCTTTTTGTGCCATGCTTAGCTGGAAAGGGTGTGTGACAATTCTGGTCAGTGAGGCTGGAGGGAACATTGGTCCTAGCAGTTCTGGAAAGACACCTCAGCCTTAGGAAGTCACAGGAAGAGGGGCCCCTTTCTTTCTTTGGGTATGGTATTGTCTAGATATGATTCCAGGAACTGTCTCCATCATCTTATGAAAATAACCAGATGAGAGCAGATAGCCAGCAAGCAGGGGATGATGTAGCAGCAGGACGGCAGGAAGACCTTGTGCCTGGGTGACATCCCTCAGTGTCCAGAGTAACCAGCCCTGGAGCCCCGAGGACGCTTTCTCATTATGTGAGAAACAGATTGTCTGTGACTAATGAGTTCAGCCTACACTGAGGCTTTCTGTCTTATGCAGTGGAAATCATCTTTCATACCTCCATTCCCATCTCACAGTTTAACACATCCCTGAAAAATCACAAGATACAGATTTTTTTACCCCAAGATTAATTTCTTTTTCCTACTCTTCTAAATTTTAAAACTTGACTTGAAATTTATAAATTCAATATATTAATTCAGTCATAAAAGTACAAACAGACCTGATTAATATCAAAGGCCACTTTTCCTCCAGTATCTCCACAAGCTAACCCAATCTGTGTAGCCTTCCAGATCTTTATCTATATATGAAAGAGACAATGTAAGTATGTTTTAAAAATGTAGCTTATTTACACATTTATAGGCACAGGTGAATAAATATTTAAAATTTACAAAATCTTTTTAATATAAGAATTTTGTCATATTTGAAAGTGTTTCCTTTTATGGGAAAATATTATATTGAGATACAGATTATATATCTCAGAATCCAGTAGATAGTCCTGCGATAGCTTTCCAGTAACTTTTTTAAAAAGATAAAAATGTATATCTAAAAGGAAATATTCTGATGTCATTGAATTCCGATCCACAGTAGCTGTAAAACACACATTTACTATTGATTATGTTAGTCTGATTTTTGCCTCTGGAACTAAAACACCTGACAAGCACAACTTGGAAGAGGAGGTGATTATTTTGATTCCTGGTTTGGGGGGTTCTGTCCTGTCCTGGTGGGTTGACTCCCTTGCTCTGGGCCTCAGATAAGGCAGAAAGAACACATGATGGAAGGGCAGGGCAGAGGCAGGCTGCTTAGCTCATGGCAGTGAGGAAGGGGGCGTGGGGAGACTGTGTGTTAGGAGCTGGGGAAAAATACTTTCCCAAGAATATGTCCCCAGTGACCTCCTTCCTTCAGCCAAGCCTTACCTGTCCATAGTTACTTCCCAGTAATCCATTCAAATTTCCAATCCATCAAATGGATTAATCCACTGATTAGGTCACAGCTCTCATAACCTAATTATTTTACCTCTGAACATCCCTGTGTTGTCTCACACATAAGATTTCAGGGGACACCTCATATCTAAACCATAACAATGATATAGTTTCAGTTTAGTCAGCCCTATTAGAATTGGTGACTATTTGCAATTTTTGTACACTTTCCTCAGTTACGTTTTTCTTCCACTCATAAAGTCCAGGGCAGCCACTTTAAATAAAAGAAAAAATATATATATGTACACATATATATACATATATATGTTTATATTTATATTTAAGTGTTTAACCCTCTGAGCCAATGTGAATGAAGGCTACCCAGAAGGTTTTTTTTTTTTTTAAATATTTTTTATTGGTTGTACATGGACACAGTACCTTTATTTTATTTATTTATTTGTATGTAGTGCTGAGGATCAAACTCAGTGCCTCACATGTGCTAGGCAAGCACTGTACCACTGAGCTACAGCCCCAGCCCCTCCAGAGTTATTTTTAAAAACCAACTTGTTAAAATTTTTCAAATAAATCAACATTGAAAAGTTCATACTTTCCCCCCAAACATCTACAATCCCAATCCCTGAATATTTAATGTAAATTAAAATTGCTATGCAATTTTCTTTGTCTTATGCAGTGTGTGTGTGTGTGTGTATGTATGTAAAAATGGGGCTATGCATTTTTATAAAAATATCTACCAGAAGCATTTAGTATGCATTCAGTTACAAGGATTGAAAACTCACTTAAACCTGGCTTCAAAAAACAAGAAAATTAGTTGGTTCGCATAACTAGAAAGTCCAGAAGTAAGACAGATTTCAGCATTAGCTTAATTTGGTAGCTCAGAAAGTTTTTTAAGGACCTGATTTCTCTTTATATCTTTTTTTGGCCTTCTAGATCTTCTTCTCCATTCTAAATCTGCTTAGTTTTGTGGTGACAAGATGGCGGGTGATAACATCCAGGACCACGTCCTCCAGACCCAGAGGAGGAGTCCTGGATTTCCCTCGGATTGGCCCATCTTGACTTGTGCCTCTTAATGCCGAGTATGGATTGGCTTAGGTCTAGGTTAGATGCTTGTCCCTAAAACAAACACTTTAAGAGCAGGATCTTAAGTTGGGGGTGGAGATGGAATGGGTTCCAACACAATTACTGGATGTTCCCCAGTGGAAAGATGTTGAGGACCTCAATCACCTCAGACCACCCATCCCCAAGGAAAAGACAGAAGGTGTACATCACAGTGGTCGTATTATACATTTTTTACAAAAAAAAAAAAAAAAATTATTGGAACAACTTCAAAGAGAAATGAAGGCTCCAAATATGACCCAAGGCTAGCATATAAGACTTGCAATGTAATTAGCAGTTTGAGGAATTTAAAGCAGACATGTTGGCAAACAGGAAATAAGAATTTTCAGAATCGAATTGCCTTTCCCTTGCCTCTGTTGTGAAATTTCAGTGGCTTCTACAGTAATTGGAGATTTTTTTTTTTTTTTTTTTTTTTTGTGGTGCTGGGGATGGAACCCAGGGCCTTGTTCATGCTAGGCAAGTGCTCTACCACTGAGCTACAGCCCTAGCCCTTGATCAGAGATTTTTGAAGGCTAGTTCCTGCTGGTCAGAGATGGTGGTGTGTTCCTGTAATCCCAGGTACTCAGGAGCTGAGGCTGGAGGATTGGAATTTGGAGGCTGGCCTGGGCAATTTAGGGAGACTCTGTCTCAAACTAAAAAAAAATAAAAAGGGCTGGGGGTATAGGGCACCCCTGGTTTCAATCCCTGGTACCATAAGAAAACAAAAACAAAAAAACCCTAAATGGGCCCAAAGCCCAGAGGAATTCAGGGCACGGGTGCCCCTTTACCGAGGGATTCCGCATGCAGAAGTGAAGCCCGTGGCTCTGATTCCGCCACTTCCTTTTTAGACAGAAGGCCTGAACTTTCTTTCAGGAAGTGGCCACCAGAGTCCCTGGCTTTCTTAGCCAACCAGCAGCTCTACACACAGCTGTATGTAGTGTGGCCCAGGCAGTAGGCACTGAGGAGGGGACGCTTGGGTCTGAAGGCTCAGGGTCCTGGGTGAAAGGGGTTCACTGCTGCTAGAGTTTGGGTTTTGGAAGTTTTGCCTGGGATTTCAAAGAGAATCCTGTCATTTTCCCATATATTTTTTCCTGGAAAAGAGAACTTGCACTGGCAGGAAAGACCTCCACTGGTGAATTAAGGTAAGAACATCTTGTGTCAGGCTGGGCACTGCGCGCCCACTTTGACTTCTGCTTAACATTGACTTTCAGCTCTGCATTTCCATAAACTTGACCTTGTCCCTTGGGAGTTAGACCACTATGGTGATAAGCAATGGCCTGGCACTATTGTCCTTAGGAGAGGTTTGCTTACAAAAAGAACAGAATTGCCCCGGGTTGGACTAAGGCACTCTGGTCTCAGTAGAAAATACAAGTCGGGGAGGAAATGAGGGCGGAAGGTAGATGTTGGATGGTCTTGAAGGAACCGTTCCGTGTCTTTCCTGGTAATTGCCCCACAAGAATATAAACTTTGGGAGTGAGGCCTTCTCTTGTTCAGTGTTGCATCCACAGCGTCTAAAACAGTCGGAGATGCTCAACACACGTGATGACTGAATGAGCCAGGGACCAGCTCCTGCATGGACGAGTCTTTCATGTTTTTTAAGTCAGTGTCCTAAGGGAAGTCTTCTCTGACCATTCTAGGAAGATTAGAGTCCCTTTTCTGAGTTTTCATAGCACTTTAAATACTATTTTGCCTATGTATCTGTATTCCCTGAGAGTCGGTGAACTCTGCAAATGTGGTGATTCTGCCTCACTTTTTCCATTTACCCACCGGCACTTTTTGTGCTGTGCCCGATGCATAGTAGGTGCCCATTGAATAAAATCGTATTGCTGTGGCAGGGCTGTAACTATTTCTCGTCTTGAGGAATAGACTTATCAAGTGGATCAGACTATGATAAGGGCCCCTTTGCTTCTTCGGTGTTGGTGATGCATTAGCAAGTTCTTGCTCTTGGCCTTTTGTGGATTTTAAGGGAACAACCACCTTTCAATTTTCAGTTGTTATTCTAATACTCTCTAAACTGTTTGAACCCACAAAATGTGCTGAGTGATCTCATGACCTACGCTCTGGATCATCAGCTGCCTCCTGATTTTAAGTAAAGAGGCACCTGAGTCCTCACAGCAAACCATCTGTAAGTCTTGGGCAGGGTGTGTTATTTCCAGGAGCCTCCCTGAGACTCGACACTGCTCTTGGGCTATATGTATTTTGACAGCTTTGATCACACAAGCTGTAGCCCCCATTCTTGACCTGCCTACTTATCTTTTACAAAAAAAAAGGATCCTCAGTCCACATACTCTTTGTTGGAGTCCAGGTGGGGATTAGCATTGTCACCCTAATGACTACTCTGAAAGAGCAAATGACCTATGTGACTTCCAGTCCTGGATCATTCAGAAGTCATAGTCAATGTTTCGAGACCAGCAGTCCCAAAATCAAGACACAGACTAAATGGAAAACATATAAAGTCAGGGCAGGATAAAAGTCTGTATCAAATGTAGATACTCAAGTTAGTTCAAACTGGTAATAATAACAACCAGAGGATGACAGTGTGAGCCTGATTCTTAGGTAGAATTTGCAACTGCCGAATTTCTCTCTCTCTCTTTTGTTAATTTATGTGAAACTGAGCCCATGGATGAGGGTGGCCAAAGAGTTGGTGAAAAGGAAGGTGGGAACTTTACAGCTATACTGGAAGGTTCCCCGAGTACTGGAGCAACTCTCACTACGTGGGAGGGACACAGCCCTGCCTTTGTTGGATCCACATCGTGGGATTTGTGCGTGCCAACCATTATCCCTTATCTGAGGTCCACCTTCCCCTCCCAGGGGGCCTTGCATCATGCACCTCTGTTGTCACCTGAATCTGCTCAGTTGTAGTGCATGTGAGAATCCCTACGATGATGGACTGGTCATCTGTGATGGGGTAGCCTCTCCATACCCTGCATCCCGACGAATTTAAGCCTGTTCATCATTTGGATCCAGACTCCACGTTAGTCAGGATCAAGATCTAGCTGACTGTACTCTTCAAACACTTGCGGGTCCTTCAGTTAGGTTCAATTAGTTCTTTCTGCGTCATTTTCCTCCTGCAAAAGTGCAAATTGCAAAAATGCAAATTGTAAAAATGGCATTATAAACAATAAATATATTTTTATTTGGTAAGTCCGTTAAATAAAAATATATACATAATGGTCATATGTCAGTCTGACTTTATCACATTTGCTCTCATTTCCTAGGCAGGCTTTGGCACAGTTATAGGCTCCAGAGGGTTTCTACCTGCTCTGTCTTCCTCCAATAGCCTCACTAGACATCCCGGGCCCTGGGTTTTTTCAGCAGGGTTCTTTTGCTATGACTGAGCTGACTGGGATCCATCCAACATCTCCTGTCTGGGCTTTCATGCAAGAGAAGGAAGAGTTCCTCCTCCAGATCCTCTTCTTGGGAAAAAGAAATGAACTCAACTTTCTCCTACCAAAGCATTGCCGTTTTCATACATTTTCTCCAACTTAAAAAATAGGAAATCGGTCTGTTTCTGCCTTTTCTCTTATAAACTGCCCCAGAGTTTATTTCTGTTCCCCATTCTTAAATCAATGAAGTAAAGTTTTTTGAGGGCAGTGGGCTCATCTTATTCATCTCTGCTGGCTCAGTATTTAGCACAGTGCCTGACCCATGGTAGGTGCTCATTGAATGAATAAATGAGCAAATGAGTGGATGAGTAGGCAAGGACTGTATACAGAGAAAATGGGGTATGGGCAGGAATTGAAGAATTCCAACTGACTCAATGATTTGTACATTCAAAAATGATTTAATGATAGATAACTGGTGTTTACAAAGTTAGTAATATTCTGTGTCATCCATACTGAGAATATAAGTTCCATTAGAAAAATACAAACTGTATTTACAAATTGCAAAAATGACATTAAAAACAATAAATAAATTTTTATTTGGGAAGTCCATTAAATAAAAAAAAATTAATATAATGGTTGAATTTTAAGAAAATCATGGGAAAAGTATGAAACAGCTATTTGCTCTCCACACATGATTTAGAATTCTATGCTAATTCTAAAAGGCAAATATAAATACTAATGAAAATAACAAAAACTTTAATAACTTGGAACGAATAGATTTTGCTATGGAAAAACGCAAGTCCATCAGCATGGTAATAGAATTTGCTATGACGGATGGGCTCTGTCTCTGCCAAAGTAATTATAAATATATAGGCCTCTTACAATTGGGAGAAATTGATTATACAATAATTAGGTAAAAGTTCACATTCATAATCTATTATGTGCTAAAAGTGCTCAGAGAAGGCCAAAGGTCAAGTTATTCCCTGGATTTTCAGTTTCAATTTTAATATTTATTTAAAATTATATAGTATTTAGATCTAAAGAGCCAACTTTACACAGCACATACTATCAAGTATATTATATACTAAGTAAAGAAACCTAATAAAGATAAAAGTATTCAACCAAGCCATTCATATTACATGTACATTTCAAAACTAAGGGATTTCTTTCTCATCTGCAAAACTAATCACAGGATATAAAAATAGCTAGTAAGAATAGCTATAATTAAGTTATATTTTAATTTAGAGAAACAGAATAACGTCTGACGGTTAACAATAATCCCAACTGCTAGATTAGAGAGAGCTAAATAGCTTCATGGAATCTGCTGATTTCTGCTTTGCTAAGACTTGCACCAATAAAACACCTGGTTTATGGCTAAAGCTGGGTGTGTTCAGACAGGGTTTGTCTTATTGCTTTAGGTGGGGCTGCTGTCTTAACTGTGCAATGAATGAAAATGACTGACTTGAAGAGGGGATTGACAACCAGCAAAGCAAAGCTCACCATGTTGGCTACTATGTGCTGTGTTATAGGCTTTAATAATGCCAAGGTCCTACACAAACAAATTAACTTTTAACTAGCTTAAAACTTGCCAGAATGCAGCATTAAAATAACATCAGCATATTTCAAAGTAAATACTACAAGATGAACTCCAGAGACAAACCAATAGCCCAAAGGCAACATCTTGTCTGCTTCTGGAACATAGTATTAGCAATGAATCACATGCTCAGTAATGTACAGATTGTTGTTTATTCTTTGTAGCTTATTGACATCACACTGACCTTTGACATCTGGGAGAGAGGGAAGAAGGGAGAAAGATTAGATAACTCATAGGATTCAGGATTGGCCAAACTGTGATGTCACAGTTACTGTGGTGGCTCTAGCATTTCAATCTAAGCTGGGGGCACTTGGTAGTTGAAATCCACTAACTGATTGAATAGTTATCTGTTGAGATGTCTACTGGTTCCTTGTCCTGTCTCATGCCAATCATAAGAGAACTCTTATGATTTTATTTCAGGGTAATATATATATATATATATAGTAGTTGGACAGAATGCCTTTTTTTAAAAATTTATTTTTATGTGGTGTTCCAGATCGAACCCAGTGCCTCACACATGCTAGGCGAGTACTCTACCACTGAGTCCCAGCCACAGCCCTCAGGGTACTGTAATTTCTGATAAATTCATTACTTAGGTTTTAATTGAGATTCATGAAATATGTGAATTTTCATATATGCTGCTATTATAGTAAGTGTTGCACAATCTTTTTCTGAAATCCTGGAAGGACTCCTACATCTTATTTTTATTTACATATCGGTACATATAGAAAAGACTGAAATATGTCATTAGATTGTATCCTTTGTTCTTAAAGATATCATTGTTAGTAATAAGTTATAATCACTTATCATTATTTAAATTATAAGATGAAGAAATGCCATCACCATTGCTATCTGCTTTTAAAGATATTTCTTTATGCTCTAGGTTTGGTAAAGATGCATGTTCATGTTGTTCTTAGAGATGTGTGTTTAAATGTAAGTATTTTAGAGAAAGAAAACATTCTATTAAAGCCAGGGGCTGACTCTTTAGAATAACCAATCTCAGGAGCCCTTTGAAGAATGTCTGTAGATCAAAATTTTGGTTGGAAAAAAGTGGAGAAGGAAGCTGGAGAATTTCCCTCCATGTGAAGAAGGCAGGTTGAGTCTTAGGGTTAATTCCCTGGGAGACTCTCATCAGGGGAACGTGTAATTTTCCTGTCCTCAGGAGTGAAAATACCTAAGGAGGCTTTGTGATTTCACCCGTCCTCATGTCACCCTGTGAGCT